TAGGGGTGAGGAGGGGTGAGGAGAGGCGAGGAGGGGTGTAGGGGTGAGGAGGTGCGAGGAGGGGCAAGCAGAGGTGAGGAGGGGTGAGGAGAGGCAAGGAGGGGTGTAGGGGTGAGCAGGGGTGAGGAGGAGCAAGGAGGGGTGAGGAGGGTTGTAGGGGTGAGGAGGAGCGAGGAGGGGTGAGGAGGGTTGTAGGGGTGAGGAGGGGCGAGGAGGGGTGTGAAGGGGTGAGGAGAGGCAAGGAAGGGTGTAGGGGTGAGGAGGGGCAAGGAGAGGCATGGAGGGGTGTAGGGGTGAGGAGGGGCAAGGAGGGGCGAGGATGAGCAAGGAGAAGTGCAGAGGGGTGTAGGGGCCAGGAGGGGTGAGGAGGGGCAAGGAGAGGTGAGGAGGGGTGTAGGGGTGAGGAGGGGCAAGGAGGGGCATGGAGGGGTGTAGGGGTGAGGAGGGGCAAGGAGAGGCATGGAGGGGTGTAGGGGTGAGGAGGGGCAAGGAGAGGCATGGAGGGGTGTAGGGGTGAGGAGGGGCAAGGAGAGGCATGGAGGGGTGTAGGGGTGAGGAGGGGCAAGGAGAGGCATGGAGGGGTGTAGGGGTGAGGAGGGGCAAGGAGAGGCATGGAGGGGTGTAGGGGTGAGGAGGGGCAAGGAGAGGCATGGAGGGGTGTAGGGGTGAGGAGGGGCAAGGAGAGGCATGGAGGGGTGTAGGGGTGAGGAGGGGCAAGGAGAGGCATGGAGGGGTGTAGGGGTGAGGAGGGGCAAGGAGAGGCATGGAGGGGTGTAGGGGTGAGGAGGGGCAAGGAGAGGCATGGAGGGGTGTAGGGGTGAGGAGGGGCAAGGAGAGGCATGGAGGGGTGTAGGGGTGAGGAGGGGCAAGGAGAGGCATGGAGGGGTGTAGGGGTGAGGAGGGGCAAGGAGAGGCATGGAGGGGTGTAGGGGTGAGGAGGGGCAAGGAGAGGCATGGAGGGGTGTAGGGGTGAGGAGGGGCAAGGAGAGGCATGGAGGGGTGTAGGGGTGAGGAGGGGCAAGGAGTGGCAAGGAGAGGTGTGGAGGGGCGAGGCGAGGTGAGGAGGGGTGTAGGGGAGAGGGGGGGCAAGGAGTGGCAAGGAGAGGTGTGGAGGGGCGAGGCGAGGTGAGGA